ATTCTGATTGGCTTTGCTTATGTTCATACACATACATCATATGAATGCTGCCAAGAGAAATCCGGGCTTTGGGCTTTGATTTAAAGTGCAACCAATTTACGTATTAATTAATTAGATTTCGAAGGCTGAGTCTGTTACAGCTATTATCATTATTCCTGATAAAATAATAATTTAAACAAATATATGTATACAGCATATATTATTTATTCAAGTGGTAGATGAAAACTCACGCAACATGAATTGTTAAGGTTCCGCGACCAGAAAGCATTTGAAGGCATGATCGATGAAATCCCAAATCGGTAATCCGGCGAATATCCTAAAAATCAATAAAATATTTTAATCAATTACAAAGATATAGTATTTCATACTACATCCTCTAAGTATATATGTAATAGTTCTACATTGGTGTCATAAGTACAAATGGAAATGAAATTTCCGCTTAAACACATAGAACCCAGTGTATAACTGATTTACTCTTTATTACTATATGGTCTTTCGAAATGCAATTAAAAAAGTTGATTGTGCATACCACGGTGTGTTCAGTCGAGCCACAACAACCCGAAGTGGAGTCAATTCTTTTGTTTGTTATTCTCCAACGAACTATTGACACCAAAAAGAATGTTAACGAATGACATCGGACAAATTACGGAATAAAGACTACATACCCGAACTACAACATAAAGGAGATAAACAACCAAGAGGCCATGTTGTTCCTTGCCAAATAGTTGTCTTTACAAAAACATGTAATTAATAATAAAATCGATACTAAATTTTATATTCATAGTTTATTCACCTCGTCATTGTGTTGCGCCATTATAAAAAGATATAAGTAATTTCTTTAACGGGGAGTTGGTGTATTTGCAATAAATTCTAAGGTCTTTTATATATACTCTATATAAGTATCTTAATATGACAATAAATTGCTTGGCATTTCACTCACATGAACATACTTCATTTATGCCTGTTATTTATATACATGCTGTACGTACGTTCTTTTCCACCTTTGATTGGTATCAGAAGTATCAGAAGGATGTTATTACTTCACACACACAACTTTATTTGGTACGTACGTACGTACATAGAAATTCTACCTTGTTTTTCACAGACTTTCCGATAGCTATTTTAGCTTTAGAGGTAATTGCACAAGGCTTATATAGCGACGTTAAATAAATTTATAAATAGTAATTCTGCTGTAAAATTAAATATTTACTGTATTTAATACAAATATTATATATATTATAAATGCATGTGATTTTTAATTTTCGCTATTTTAAAAAATTGAGTCACACCGCGTACGTACTGTATGCGCAATATCATGAAAGAAATCGAACTTAATTGCGATTATTTCAGCATTAATTAGGTTTCAATATATTAGTTTTTTTATGAATTCTTATTGGTCAAAGGAAAGATCTTAATTATGGTCGCAGTCAAACTTAAACCTTCTAAAAATTAAAGAATTATTTATATATTTAAAAATATTGATATAAATTTCGGATTTGGAATATTCTGCCCGAAATTTATCCGAGTAGCTTCTTCAGAGAATGCAAATTCCTATTTTTGGGCAGACAATTTATGTTCCACAATTATTTACAACTATGATTAATTTTATACAGTATGAATAATGTTAGGTTAAGTACGTACATACGTACTTAACCCAATTCTTCTACTACGTAATAAACTTGCGTCAATCTTTAAAAAATTTGGTTTAGTTTAATGCATTCTGAAATTCAATACCTATACGTGTATTTTAAAATGATAACCTTTAACGAGTCAGTTTTTGTTAAGTTTCAATCCAAAATTTTGTTATTTACTACAGTATACTTTCGGGTGGGTTTTTGAAAAAAAAAAAATTATTTTTTAATTAAAAAGTGGCCAGAGAGTCACTTTAAATTCATATGGGGTCTTTGCCTTGAAAATCACCCTCCGACATTTCCGATCGGGCTAATTCGGACGAAATCAAACCCGTGT